CGGCATGGGGCGAAGCCCTTACGGGTAACACATAAAAATCGAGACTGGTCAAAAGGGCACGAATCATCGGCACCAGACTATTTTGTAACTCTTCTTGAAAATTCCTCCAATAGTGTTAAGGCCCAGTAGTGCGACCGGCGTGCTGACCCCCCCCCCACCATCTCGACGAGGGGTGCGTGGCGCACTCGTCGCCCGTGCGTCGGCCGCCGAATGAGGCCGGCCGTTCTCGCGAACGCGCATGTCGCCCCTCGCAAGGGCGCACTTCGGTGAGTGCGCCGCCAGCGCGACTACAGTCGGCTCGTGCGGCGTCGGCGCGCGCAAAGATTTTTGACACCGCGTCGATCGTTCAACCTTGAACCGATCGCGACTCCGATCGTTCAAGGTCGAATCCCGTCGGGTCCAGTGGCGTTACCGTGTCCATCGAAGCTGCCGCGTCGTGGATTCAACCTTGGACGCATTCGTCGGCGTCGCCGGCGCGCCAACGCCGCACGAACCTGCCGTATTCCTCCCGCAGAGGGACATGCTAGACTTGAGGCTAACGCCACAGGTGGCCGCGCACGGGCGCGGGCCGTGCTCCAACGGTGGCGGCTCTGCGGGGCGGCGCACGGGCACCTGCAGCATCTCCAAGAGACCCCCTCGTCCAGCTCGTCTGCTTTCCCCTCGTTGTCAACTGCAGAATCCTCAACCCTCCTCCTCCTCCTCCTCCTCCTCCTCCTCCTCCTCCTCCTCCTCCTCCTCCTCCTCCTCCTCCTCCTCAGCCTGACATCATCCTCATCATCATTAGCATCATCATCAGCATCAGCAGCAGCAGCATCATCCGCATCCGCATCCGCATCCGCATCAGCATCAGCATCATCATCATCATCATCATCACCACCACCACCACCATCATCATCTGGGCGAGCAACGACATATGTACATGTACGCCCTCCACGGTCTTGCCTGCACGAACGTCCGCGTTGACACGCACTCCAGGGGAAACTAACCGCGTACGTGTACATATGTTGCTGGCCTCTGATCATCATCATCATCATCATCATCATCATCATCATCATCATCATCATCATCATCATCAGCATCAGCATCAGCATCATCAGCATCATCATCATCATCAGCATCATCATCATCGTCATCGTCGTGATCGTGATCGTCGTCATCGTCGCCGCCAAAATCACAATCATCAACATCATCATCAGCAGCATCAGAAACAGCATCATCATCATCAGCAGCAGCAGCATGATCATCCTCCTCATCATCACCACTACCATCATGACCAATCTTTATCATCATCAGCAGCACCACCACAACCACCACCATCATCGTCATCGTCATCATCAGCGTCGTCGGCATCGCCATCGTCATCATCAGCATCATCACACTCATCATCATCATCATCATCATCAGCATCATCATCATCATCATCACCACCACCACCACCACCACCATCATCATCATCATCATCATCATCATCATCATCAGCAGCAGCAGCAGCAGCAGCAGAAGCAGCAGCAGCATCATCATCATCATCATCATCATCATCATCATCATCATCATCATCATCATCGTATTCATCATCATCAGCATTATCATCGTCAGCATCATCATTGGCGTCATTGTCGTCGTCGTTGCCAACATCATCATCATCATCATCAGCATCATCAGCAGCATCAGCATCATGCTAATCATCTGAACATGGTAATCAGCATCACTGACGTCGACAACATCCCCATCATCATCAGCATCGTCACCATTATGACCCTACACCATCATCATCACCAGCAGCATCAGCATCAACATCATCAGCATCGTCGTCATCATGATCATCGTCATAGTCATCATCATCATCATCATCATCAGCAGCAGCAGCACCATCATCATCGTCGTCGTCGCCTGCGTCGTCGTCGTCGACGTAATCGTCATCAATATCAGCAATAACACCATTATCATCATCGCCACTACCGTCATCATACTCCTCATCATCACCACCATCATCACCATCGTCATCACCATCACCACGACAGCCACCATCACCATCATCACCACCACCATCGGCATCATCATCACCACCATCATCATCATCATCATCATCATCATCATCCTCATTATCATTATCATCATCATCATCATCATCATCATCATCATCATCATCATCATCATCATCATCATCATCATCATCATCATCATCATCATCATCACCGTCATAATCATCATCATCGTCATCGTCGTCGTCGACATCGTCGGCGTCCTCGTCATCAGCAGCAGCAAAATAATCATCGTCATCATCACCATCATCATTCGCGTCGTCATCGTCACCATTATCGTCAGATTCGTGGTCGTCATGCCTGCTCCACAGCCTCCTCACTCTCCTCAACCCTGCTCCTCCTTCACCTCCCCCGCCGCCTCCCCCTCCTCCCCTTTATCCACCTCTCCCTGCGAAGTTTCGCTTTGCACCTAGGAGATGGATTCGTTCGTCCGGGTTCGGGGGTCGTCTTCGGGGATCTGGGCCCCACAAGCCACACCAGACCATGAGAAACCGGCCCGAATCCACCCCGAACCCAACAGAAAGCTTGAAATGTACACAACATGCCCCCCCCCGACAAAAAATGCCCCCATATGACTCCTCCTCACCCCCCCTCCCTACTCCTCATTTTCATCCTCCTCCCCCTGGGTCGGGAAGCAGACATTCGCATTCGCGTTCGCATTCGCACTCTCGTCAAGACATGGTCCTTGTCTCTTTGGGCCGGAGCGTGGAGGTCGTAACCTCTCTATGCGTACACGTGCTCGGTAAAGCAAAGGCCACACGGCACAAGCGTGCTTCCCTGCTGGAGTTGGTTCTGGCGCCAGTGCCGGTTGGTGTCGTGTTGGCAAGTGTCTTGGTCGTCTTGTTCGGGTGCTGGGCTCCCGTCGATGAGATGAAGTCAGACTCAATGCTCATCCAGATGGTTGTGTCGGAGGCTACGTGAAGCAGATGCGTTCCGAAACTCGCTGCTGGCCGATAGGCCACCACAGAGGTGGCTGCTCGCATAATGCCCAGCCACCCTGGGACCTTTCGCCCTTACAGGAAGCGTATTTTCGTACAGCATCCCCCTGGGTCCCACAGCATACTGGGGGTTGGACCGATTGGTGGGGGCCTATGGCGGGAACCCCGCGGGCAGTGGCCCAGAGATGCCGACCGACCGACGGGGATACAAGGCAGCCCCCAGCAGGTAAGAAACCCCCAACTCCCAACTCCTCCTCCGCATCCTCCGCCTCATCTGCCCCTGAAGTCTCTGCCCCTGTCGCCTCTGCCCCTGCCTCCTCCCCTTTCTACTGACCCTTATCCTCCTCCCCCTCTTCCTCTTGCATTCCTAAACAACTATTGACTAACCACCTGGCCAGCCTACCGAGATGATGTGAGTCGTCCTGCCGCTGGTTTCCCCCACCCCCGCCCTGCCTCACACAACGAATCGATGCCCCTCATGAATTTCTTGACCTTGCTGAAGACGTCCTGGCCAATCGCATCAACATGAACAACGCACCGTGGAGACGGTAACCTCTCTGAGGTACCAGGGATACCTTTTCCATCAGTGGACGCTCTAGGAATGGGCGACCCGGACAGCAGGGCAAGCATTCGAAGAATGCTCTCGCCAAATCACGCGCAAACGCTCCCCTCAACAATTCCATCCATATTCGCGCAACTATCTTCATCTCGGATATGAGGTGTACAATCGAGAGGTGGCAAATGACAAGGTAACGAAAGCGACAGTAAGGAACGCGAGGCTTCTTCTCAAGCATGCTGGAGTAGACGGCATGCGTCTTCCTGTTTGTCTCCCCTTCTTCCCCATCCAGCTCAATGCTTGTGGCCACGCTCCCCGAGGAAGCGATGGAGGAGGGCGCGGAAAAAGGAGGGAAGAGCAAGATGAAGAGGAGGAGCAAAAGGAGGGAGCATGAAGAGAAGAGATGAGCGAAGAGGGAAGCCACGGCGGAGACCTGCAAGGTCTGATCGAACTCGCAGAAGTCACGGACGATGCCCTCGCCAGGGAGCCAGCACGGAAAGGCAGCATAAAGCACGAACAGAGGGAATGGGGGGGAAGTGCTTGAGGATGGGAAACGCTGCGGGGCCGCCCTCTCTATCTCTCCCTTTTTATCTTTTTATTTTTTCTCTCTCTCTCTCTCTCTCTCTACAAATATACAAATACGATGTGTCTATATATACATATACATACATATATGCTAGCCAGCGTGCACCACACAAAATAATGTGGTCGCACTATGGAGGTGTGAGCTGCGCAATGCAAGTTGTGTGGCGGCAGCTATGTCGTGTAAGCTATGTGGAGTGGGTTTGGAGGGTGAAAACGTGAAAACAATGCGGTGAAAGCTATGCGGTGCAGGCTGTGTCGCGTAAACTAGGCGGGGATAGATGGAGGTGAAGTTGAAGGCTATGAGGTGCAAGCAATGTGATGTAAGCTACGTGGTGCAATATAAGGCCCTGGAGCTATAGGGCTACAGGGCTACAGGGCTACAGGGCTACAGGGCTATGGCTGTAAGGGCTGCAGGGCTGCAGGGCTATAGGGCTATTGGGCTGTTGGGCCATGGGCTATAGGGCTATAGGGCTATAGGGCTATATGGCTTTAGGGCGATAGAGCACCCGGGCACCCAGGCACCCCGGGGTGCATCGGGGCACCCCCGGGCCCCTCCGGGCACCCCCGGGCCCCTCCGGGCACCCCCGGGCACCCGGGCACCACCGGGCACCCGGGCACCCGGGCCGGCCACCGAGGGCGGCGGCGCACCTCGCCGGACCATATGAGTCCGCCAGGACCCCTGCAGAGGCAAGCGCGGATGGGGGAATCTGCGGTGCAAGACAGGGCGACGAGCTCTATACATATCCACTGCTCCTGGCCAGGTCCATCCTGGGCCCAGGAGCGGTGTATACGCCCTCCTGGCTTGGCTAGGGAGGCATATACACCGCTCCTGGGCCCAGGATGGACCTGGCCAGGAGCAGTGGATGTGTATAGAGCTCGTCGCCCTATAAGAGATGTGCTGTGAGCTGTGGTGAAGACTGCGCGGCGACAGCTCCATCGTGCAAGAGCTCAGAGCACGCTGCGGCCACGAGGCGCCCACGAGGCGGCACGGGCGGCAGCGCGGCGCAGCCTCGGCAGACCCCCCCCCCCGCTTCGCCTCCCCCCCCCTCCCTCCCCCCGCGGACGGGGCGCCCACGAGGCGCCCACGAGGCGGCACGGGTGGCAACGCGGCGCAGCCACGGCATACCCCCCCACCCCGCAGACGGGGCGCCCACGAGGCGCCCACGAGGCGGCACGGGCAGCAAAGTCCGAGCCGCAACTTCGGCCTGCCCCCCAGGCACGAGGCGCCCACGAGGCGCCCACGAGGCGGCACGGGGCACCACGTGGCGAAACACCAGGAAGGCCAACCAATCACCTTGAGGAATAGGAGTCAGAACCCCTAAGTGCAAGCACAGCTTAGGGATAATATGTATACACATCGATATGTAATGTTATAAATGTACACATATCTATGAATATATAGGGCACGGGGACATGTCGATGTGTATATATGTATACAGAGAGAGAGAGAGAGACACGCGCGCTTCGCGCGCGCTTAGGTTCTAGCAAGCTCTAGTTGTAGCCTACAAAGTGTTCGGCATCGAAGGACATGTATTGCCACGCGGATCGTGCCACTCAGGAAGCTCCTCCTGCGGCCCCAGAGACGGACTTGGCGTAGCGTCCCCGCGCCCATGTCGGCACACCCCTCACAGGGATCGCGCCCCACAGGGAGCTCCACCTTCGTCCCCAGAAGCAAGGTTCGCATAGAGGCACGCCCCTCACGCGGATCGTGCCTCGCAAGTAACTGCATTTGCGGCGCCATAGGGAAACTTCATAGCGCCGCCCCGCTCACTTCGGCACCACTCTCACACAGATCATGGCCCGCAAGGAATCCCACGATTCCACGGACGGCGCCAAAGACAAGGTTCGTATTCCACCCTCCCGCCTAAGCCGGCACACCTCTCACACGGATCGTGGCCCACAGGGATCTCCACCTACGCCCCTAGAGGCAAGGTTCGCATTGCGTCCCCCCCCCTCGCCATTGTGGCACACCCCATCACGCGGATCGTGCCCACAAGGAGCACGATCTGAAGGCCCAGAGACAAGGTTCGTACAGCGCCCCCCCGCCCATGTCGGCATACCTGTCACGCGAATCATACCCCAGGAGGAGGTCCCCCCATGGCACAAGTGGCCGCTTCGCGTGGCATCCCCCCGCCCTTTTCGTAACATGCCTCGGGGGTACCCGAATTATTCGGCATACCCTTCACGCGGATCGAGGCCAACAAAGAGTTCAAAGCACCCCTGCACGCGGGCTCCACAGCAGCAATCTTTCCGCATTGCCCCGTGGCGCGCAATATATGAAGAGAGACCCGCGCTCTGCACTACAGGTGTCTGCATAATTAGGGATGGGTCCGTCACCAAACCAATTGCTTGCTTATCTATGGCCTTCGGCCCAAATCGCTACCGCTACTGCGCCTGAATCCCACCAGCCCTTTGGGCGTGAGTGGTTTAGAGAGCCCGCTCTGTCCTCAACCCCCCTGCTTCCCCTTCGGGGAGGGGTTTACCCCTCCCCCTACCCCCTCCCCCTGGACCTGGAGAGGGCGGGCCGAGCGTGGTCAGGGGAGTCTGCTTTGACTCCTGGAAGGGCCAAAAAACGACGACCCTTACGAGGATTCTGGCCCCGACGGGGGGAACCACTTTGGCCCCTCTCCTCTTCTGTGAAGCCAAAAACATTGATTTTACTAAGGTTTTGGCCCCATTTTGGACTTCTGAGGGGGCAGCGCTCATCGTCCGTCCTAGCAAAACCATTGATTTTACGAAGGTGTTGGCCTCATTTTGTCTTTCTCAGGGGGTAGCTCTTCTTTGCGCTTCTGAGGAGGTCGCAAGAGGCCCCAAGATGGCCCCAAGAGGCCCCCAGGAGGCTCCCAAGAGGCCTCCAAGAGACCCCCCAGAGGCCCCCAAGCGGCCCCCAGAGGCCCCCAAGAGGCCCCCAAGAGGCCCCCAAGAGGCCCCAAGAGGCCCCTAGAGGCCCCCAAGAGGCCCCCAAGAGGCCCCCAAGAGGCCCCCAAGAGGCCCCACGAGGAGGCCCCCAAGAGGCCCGAGGGGCCCGAACGACTCACACCAGAACGAGGAACGAACGAAGGGACCCGAACGACTCACACCAGGACGAGGAGGAACGAACGACTCACACCACGAGGGACGCCCCGAACGACTCACACCACGAGGAGCCCGAACGACTCACACCACGACGAGGGCCCCGAACGACTCACACCACGAGGAGCCCGAACGAGTCACACCAGGAGGAGGGGCCCGAACGACTCACACCAGGACGAGGGGCCCGAACAACTCACACCACGAGAAGCCCGAACGACTCACACCAGGACGAAGAGCCCGAACGACTCACACCACGAAGAGGCGAACGACTCACACCAGGAAGAAGGGCCCGAACGACTCACACCACGTGGAACCCGAACGATCATCTCACACCAGGACCGCCCGAACGACTCACACCACGAGGAGCCCGAACGACTCACACCACGACGAGGGCCCCGAACGACTCACACCACGAGGAGCCGAACGAGTCACACCAGGAGGGGCCCGAACGACTCACACCAGGAGAGGGGCCCGAACGACTCACACCAGGACGAGGGGGAACAACTCACACCACCCGAACGACTCAGGACCCGAACGACTCACACCAGGACGAAGAGCCCGAACGACTCACACCACGAGGAGCCCAAACGACTCACACCAGGACGAGGGGCCCGAACGACTCACACCACGAGGAGCCCGAACGACTCACACCAGAAAGAGGGGCCCGAACGGCTCACACCAGGACGAGGCGCCCGAACGACCCACACCACGAGGAGCCCAAACGACTCACACCACGACGAAGGCCCCGAACGACTCACACCACGAGGAGCCCGAACGAGTCACACCAGGAGGAGGGGCCCGAACGACTCACACCAGGACGAGGGGCCCGAACAACTCACACCACGAGAAGCCCGAACGACTCACACCAGGACGAAGAGCCCGAACGACTCACACCACGAAGAGCCCGAACGACTCACACCAGGAAGAAGGGCCCGAACGACTCACACCAGGACGAGAAACCCCAAACGACTCAAACCACGAGGAGCGCTTTCTCTCCCTCCTCCTCCGCCTCGTCCTTCTCCCGCTCCCCCCACAAGGAGGATGTACAAGGAGGCGGGAGGAAGGAGGAACAGGGGAGATGTGCGGGGCCAAGCGGACACACGCCTGAAAAACACGACTGTCGGCATGCTTCGCGAGAGTTGCTGCTGTGAGATGGGCTGGTGGGGGATACGCGAAGCGTAAAGAATTTGGAAAAGAGAATTATTGTATACCTATAATTCGGTGTCTCTTGGCATGGGGTGTCGGTGTTGGCGTGGGGGGGGGGGGGGAGCGGGCCGCCAGCGCACGTGTCCTTCAACAACAACAACAACAACAACAACAACAACAACACCAACAACAACAACAACAACAACAACAACAACAACAACAACACCAACACCAACACCAACACCAACACCAACACCAACAACAACAACAACAACAATCATTTTACCCGAACGCTCAGTGTTCTCCCCAGTGCCAGGGTTTTCTTGCGACACCAGCCAATACCCCCACTTCGTGGGGGGGCCGTTCAAGCTCTACCAAATATCCAAACGACTCTTCGAGACCACCCACACCCAGCTTCCCGCCCTATGACGTTGGGACACTTCACTTCGTGGCGTGCGGACGACCCTGGCTACTACACTGGCGTGGGGTACACACCCACAGAGGTTGATCACATCTGTTACATATGATGTGGTACACGGTACACGTGAGATGGTACGCAGTGCCAAGATAGTTGGTCACATTTTTGGGGCAAATTCGTGGGGATGCGATTACAGAAGTACATGTGTTACACTGATGTTATACAGTCCCAAGGATGACGCATGCATTGCTCATAGACTCATGGCGCTATGATCCTAACTCTCAGTGCCCAACGCGCGCGTGCACAGCCAGACGGAGGGAGAGAAACACATGTATACAAGGTTCGTGACATACGCACGGTCCACCATGTTGTAAACGATCGCATGCACGGTAAGTTCTGAAATTATACGTATGTACAAGCAGACATGCGAGGGAGAAAGGGAGATGGCCATCGACAGTTCCAATACGGCTCCAAGGCGGAAGAGGGGGAGGAGGAGCAGGACCGTGGCGCTAGAAATACTGACCGTGCCAGTCACAACCCGATACTTGGCCCACCAAGTCTTGCACGCCTGGTGACTAGCATTGATACCCTTTGCCCGGAGCGCCTGATGCAAATAATACGCACTCTCGCAGTCGGCCAAGGGAGGCCGCGACAGCTCAGGGCCATACTGCTCGTGAAGGTCTTTCGCCGTCAAAGCCATGATCCAAGAACACAGGCGATACCTTGATCCGAGATGGCTACGGATATGTGCGTCAGCAGTCGGGGGCCTTCCTGGGGCCGCTTGGGGTCCTCTTGGGGAAGGGGGGAAGCCTCCTGGCGCGGTTTGGGGTCCACTTGAGAGCCTTTGGGGGGCTCCTTGGAACCATCTTGGGGCCTCTTGGGGGCTTATTGGACCCTCACGGCGGACTCTTGGGGCCTCTAGAACGCCTCCTGGGGCCATCTTGGGGGTCTCTTGGAGCCACCTTGGAGCCTCTCTGGAACCTCTTGGGGGCCTCTTGGAGTCCTCTTGAAGCCTCTTGGGACCATCTTGGGCGCCTCTTTGGGCCTCATGGACGCCTCTTGGGGCCATCTTGCGCGCCTGTTGGGGCCATCTTGGGTTTTAAAGATTCATCAAGAGACCGCGAATGGATTTCGAGATTTTTCGGATGAGAAAGTAGTGCGTTTTCATATGTTTTCTGAACATCGCATCTTGAAATTATTGAAAACCCATTGTGTTTGGCAGGATTTCGACATGCGCGCGCGGCGGCCGCGCGCATGTGCACTTCGTCTCATTTTTTGCAAGGGATGGTGGCCCTCGCAGGCGCGCAACCGTTGTTGGAGAAGTTCAAAGCACCTGAAGAAGTAGCACGCAAAGACCCTTTTAACAGAAATGTTTAAAATCTGGTGGGTTTCCTAGGAATCCGCAAGAGCGCGCGGAAGGACATTTTGACAATTTTTTCTGAGAAAACCATTGGGTTTTTGATGTTTTTATGTTAAAATCGTTACGAAACCTAAGGTTTTGGAAGGATTTCGTCTTGCGCGCACGAATGTCCACTTTACCTTATTTTTTGCAAGGGATTCTTGCAATTTGATCAAGTAAAAACAAGAATTTTCATTTTCTATTGTTTTTTGCAAGGGAAAACGAGCGTCAACAAAAAACCGGATCCGGAGCTCATCCACTTTTCTGAAGCTTTCGCGAAAAAATGATGAAAATGTAGCTGCGGCCTAGGCGCGGCGCAGAGGTCGCGCACCAGGGGTCCCAACAATAATAATTCTTTAGAAGGAATAATGTTCAACAACAACAACAACAACAACAAAAACAAAAACAACAACAACAACAACAACAACAACAACAACAACACCAACAACAACAACAACAAACAAAATCCACGCCGCCGGGTCCCGCTTCAGCCACGCACTCAGGGACAGTGAATGACCAGTCGTCCCCCTCACTCTGATATTAGCAAGCGTGGACCCCAAGCAGTGTAGTTCTAGCAACATATGTTTGCAATATGCGTGACCAATACATGTGGTGCAGTTTGGACGGTGCAGTACCTGCGGTGCAGTCTATGTGGTACAAGATATATGGTGCACCAAAATTGTGACATCTATGTGGTGCAGCGCTAGCCAGCCGCGCTGGCTTCCCACTGCATACGCTAAAAATGGCATTCCTGCCTCAGCGGTTGCCACGTTTGAGGACAACGGTGCCGTTTCGAGATCAATGTGCTCGTCGACATTCGACTATGCGATTGAAGGGGACTCAACTCCATAGCAAGGTATCTGAGCGAGGGTATGATGCCAGATTTGGCGCGCGAGAGAGGCAGTGTTGCATAGCTGATCCTCTCCTCCGATCCCATCAGATACCCTTCCCTCGATCTCCTCCGAACCATCCACTGCCCCACTCTCCCCCTCCCCACCTTCCCTCCTTTTACCCCAACCCATCCCTGGCCGCCTCTCCATACTTACATCCATCCCCTCTGCCCCATTTCCCACCTGACCACCTCATCTGACGCACCATCGTGCCATGAGGTGCGAGTCGGCGTGTCCTCGGGCCCTTGGCCGGATCCCTCAGGCCTCAGCCCTCAATCCTGGGGAGATCGCAAGTTCGCAAAACTCTTGGGGCTTGGCGCGTACACCCTGGTAGGCGGCGCGCCGGGGGGGGAAATGAGAAGGGGCGGGCCTTCTCGGAAGGCTCGGAAGTCCACCAGCCTTATGAGAAGTGTTCTAAGCCTTCCCCGAAGCACAAGCAACTTCTCAGAAGGCGCGAGGACTTCTGAGAAGTTCCGCCGCCTTCTGAGAAGGTTTTCTCCTTCTCGTTTCCCCCCCTTCGCTCGCCGCCGACCTGGGCTCAAGAGGCCGCCCAGGCGGCCCAAGGGTGCCCCGAATCGCCGCACGATCGGTCCAAGATGCCCAAGATGGCCCCAAGACGGCCCCAGGAGCCGTCGAAACGCCCCAGGAGAGCCCCAAGAGCCTTGCCTTTCCAAGAGGGCCCCGAGGCGCCATAGTATCGATTTACCTCACAACTTTCAACGTGTGGGGGGTTCTCCACTTGTCCAGCTTCGGACGCTCGACGACGTCTCAAGAGGCCCCCAAGACCACCCCAAGACGGCCCCAGAGGCCCCCTAGAGAGCCCCAAGACGGCCTAAGAGGGCCCCAAGACGGCCAAAGAGGCGCCCAAGGCGACCCAAGAGGGCCCCAAGAAAGCCCAAGAGGGGCCCAAGAGGGGGAGCACGAACCGAAAATCCAGCCTTCCGCCCCAAGAGATCCCCAGGAGGCCCCAAGAGGCCCCCAAGAGGCCCCAAGAGGCCCTCAAAAGGCCCCCACGAGGCCCCAAGAGGCCCCAAGAGGCCCGTAAGACTCTCCAGGAGGCCCCCGAGAGGACTCAACGAGATCCCAACGAACGTCCAAGAGGCCTCAGCCCCACAACCCAGGCACGGTGGCGGGGCCATTAGTATGCATCTTCCAGGGCCCGGTCCGAGCCTTCCCCCGAATCACAGTGCTACTGGGATCGGCCCACCCCCCCACTGGGTCCCCCCATGTGGGTCTGGGGTGGGGCACCTGTCGGTGTGGGGTGGTGCTACGTCGTCGTGGTCGTCGTCGTCGTAGTCGTCGCCGCCGTCGTCGTCGTTGTCGTTGTCGTCATTGTCGTCGTCGTCGTTGTCGTCGTCATCTCCGTCGTCCGTCGTCGTCGTCATCTTCGTCGTCCGTCGTCGTCGTCGTCGTCGTCGTCGTCGTCGTCGTCGTGGTCGTGGTCGTCGTCGTCGTCGTCTTCTCAAAACCTCCTTCTTGGGGGGGGGCACGGGGCCCTGGGAACCATCCCATCTGGGGGGGGCCGGGCATGGGCCCTGAACCCTGGAACATCTCTCTCCTTATGTATCTCTCTCTCTCTCTCTCTCCCTCTCTCTGATACTACATCCACATCCCTCTCTCTCGCTCTCTCTGTATCTCTTGTTCTCTCTCCCTCTCTGTCTCTGTCTCTATCCCTCTCTCTCTCTGGCTTCCTCCCCCCACGTCATCGGCATCGGCCCCGGCCCCCGCCCACGCAGCCTCAAAAACGGGGTCCACTGGCTCGCCAGAGAAAAACTTCTCCTCGGAACGGGTGAGGGATGGAGGCGAGGCGAGGCGAGGCGAGCGCGCGGTTCCGCCGGAGGCGGGGCCGTTTAGGGCCTGCGCGGGGGTGAAGAGGAGGAGAGAGGGAAGAGAGAGGGGACAAGAGAGAGAATGAGAGAGAGAAGGAGGAGAGAGGGAATGAGAGAGAGAAGGAGGAGCTGGAGGAGGACGAGGACACGGGAGCATACCGATGGGGACGCAGTGCCCCTTTCCCGACACCTACGCCACGCCACTGGATGGGCCACCTTAGGATACTGAAGCGTACCACTCCCCGCCACACCTGCTTGCAAAACTGTGCCCGCCTGGGCCGCTGTGTTTTCCTTGGGGGGCAGCCGGGGTGCACATAGTTCTCAAAAGATGGGGCGCTGTTTCTTCCCCGTTTCTGGCGGCGTGCCTCTTTGCGTGGGGTCCTCCACAGGCGAAGGGGCACGTGCAAGGCACGTGTTGCCGAAATACTTGTTGTGAGCAGGCCAGTTGCGCAGGGAAGTGAACCTGTCCACTAGCTTTAGGTCGGGCATGTCCTCCTACAGGCTGAGCTTGGACGCAAAACGAAAATAGTTGAAAGATACTAGTCAAAAACAACTTTAAATCATCCCCAAACTATTTGCTAATCATTTGTTTCCTCCTGTAGAGGGGCATGCCCGACTTAACACCAATTAGACTGATCGGCTCCACCTGGGAGGCCGGCACCTCCACCCACGCGCGGAGCGTGGGGTGGGCACAAGGAGGTTTCTGAAGGGGCCCAGGGACACACAAATAAACATTCACACACACGTTTTGGATTTCCGCATTTCCCATATGTTCCATATTTTCTCCATATTTTCTCATACTTTCTGGATTTTCGCATTTCCCATTTTTTTCCATGTTTTCCGGGGGATCGGCGAGCACGACAAGGAGGGGCCAGGGCGCGACGCGACGCGCACCACCAGCGTCTCTACTGGCGGGCGACCACGTGCGCTGGCTGGCGGTCAGGGCGCAGAGCCGCACAGGCTTCGAAGCGGCCGAAGGCCTCACAGCCTCCCACGAGCCCGCAGCGATCGTGTCAACTCCTCCTCCTCCTCCTCCTCCTCCTCCTCCTCCTCCTCCTCCTCCTCCTCCTCCTCCTCCTCCTCCTCCTCCTCCTCCTCCCTCCTTCTCCTCCAACTCCTCTTCCTCCTCCTCCTCCCTCCTCCCTCCTCCTCCAACTCCTCCTTCTGCCCGAGACGTATTTCGACGGCGGGAGCCACGTTGGCGAAAAACCTGCGTGTTCACTGCGTCGGCACGTTGTACTCTAGCCTGGGATCACCTTGCCTGGCTGGCGCCCCGCCCAACTCACGAGCGCGCGTGCTGGCGACCCCAGGCAGCTGGGCGCGCAGAAGCCACCGGGCAGCGGAGAAGCACGGTCGTCGTAGTCGCCGCCACCCTCGCGGCCGCCACCATCGTCGCCGCGGACGTCGTCGCAGCCGTCGTCGTCTGTGAAGCAGCGCAACTGCACGAACAGAGTACCCGTGCCGACGCCAATGAGACTGGCGCGCAGACCACGCACCATTCAGCAGCGAACGACAAGACTCCCAGAGAGTCGAGGTGTAGAAACCAGGCGGTGCCAGTGCCGAAGCCACATTCCCTGAGCGAGACTGTCGGGACAAGCGGCGAAACAACTAGCTTCACGGAACCACGGCGCAGGGGCCAGACTCGATCGAGCTAACTAGATTCCCAGAGAGAAGTTGCAAGGGCCCGACGAACTTATCAAACTGCTAGGGAAGGCACGGGGGCAAGGCGGCGACAGGGCCAAGACACAGTGCATCCTCCTCCTGCTCCTCTCCCTCCTGATGATCCTCTGCGCTTGTCCCCACATCATCCGACGAACCCCCGAATTCTCCTCATCCCCACCCCGTCCACCCTTCTTCCCATAGCCACCATCACCATGACCGTCACAATCACCACCGTCATCCATCATCGCCACCACCACCACCACCAGTCACGATGATCATCGAATATGACCACTACCACCACCATCGTCGTTACCATCCGCCTCCCCTTCCCACCACTCCCCTCCCTCCCCTCCCCTCCATCCCCTCCCCATGCCCTCCCCTCCCCTCCCCCTTTTCCGTTCCTGGGCCCCGTCCCCCTCCCAGTCTCCCACTGGCATCGCGTTCCTTGAGGCAACCCCACTCGGTCTTGATGTTGGACAGCGAATCCTCAAGCCAAGGTGGTCGCGAGATGCCAGCTAGCCAGGGGCATGCATTTTAGGAGGAGGACGAGAAGGAGGAGGGGCAGGAGGGAAGGAGGGGAGAGGGGCAAGCGGGGAGGGGCCAGCTGGGCGCGCTGGAACCATATCTGGCATCCTACCCCTCCCACCAGTCCCTTCCCATCCCCTCCAATGTTGCCAACTGTACTCTATCCGCAACTGGGTATCCTAGCGGACCTGGACCCGACAATGGCGCAATCGCGGCATGCGCAATCAGAAAGGGGAGCTGTGCACATTGGAGGCATTGGAGGAGGAGGTGGCGGATGCGCAGGAGGATGGGCAGGAAGAGGAGAACGAGGAGAAAGAGCAGGAGCAGGAGGAACGGAAGGAGCAGGAGGACCAGGGGAAGGCATGGGAGAGGAAAGGAGGGGCGACAGCGATGAGGAAGGAATCGGATCCAGAAGCGTAGCCCAAGCTCGGGCGAGAGTGCCTTCCTAAACGGCGGGAGCAAAGAACCGATCCTGCAAATGATGCCAACGCTGCAGCGACGTGCAATTACTTCTGTCACCTAGAAGTAACAAAACCACACGAACCGACACCTATGACAAACAGATAGCGAAATCCTGCCGAACCAACAAAAAACTGGAGGGGCGGGACCACGACGGGAAGGGTTTCAGAAAGAGAGAGAGAGAGAGAGAGAGATATAGGGCAGTGGAGGGGAATTGGAGTGGGTTGGAAAAAGAAGAGGGGTGAGCTAGGTGCGCTCACGCTACATTCGACATCCGACTCCTCCCTCCCGTCCCTTCCCATTGCGCTGTGTTCGCTCTATCCGACCATGCGCGTCATAGCCGACCTGGAACTCCGAAAAGGGCACCATCGTGTTTTCGAAATCGGACAAATGGAAGCTGCATACATTGGAGGAGGGGGCGGACGAGCAGGAGGATGAGCAGGAGGAAAAGGAGAAGGAGGAGAAGGAGAGGGGGGGGGAGGAGGGAGGAGGGAGGAGGGAGGAGGGAGGAGGAGAGGAGAGGAGGAGGGAGGAGGCAGGAGGAGGGAGGAGGAGGAGGGAGGAGGAGGAGGAGGAGGAGGAGGAGGAGGAGGAGGGAGGAGGGAGGAGGAGGGAGGAGGAGGGAGGAGGGAGGAGGGAGGAGGAGGAGGAGGAGGGAGGAGGAGGAGGAGAAGGAGGAGGAGGAGCAGGAGGAAGGAGGAGGATGAGGACGGAGGGTGACGAGGACGGACAGCAGCAGCGGCAGCAGGAGCTAGAGTGGAAGGAGCCTGAGGATCAGGAGGACCAGGGGAAGGCGGCGGAGGGAAAACGAGGGGAGCGGCAACGACGGGGAAGGACACTGATCCACAAAAAAGTGGCCCGCGCTGGGGCGAGAGAGCTAAACGACGGGAGCAGCACAGGATCCTGAAATGAGGCCCACACTGCAGCGCCAACACCATTTCGAAGAACCGAAAAACGACCGGATTGTCAAACCAAAGTGTTCCACAGAAAGGAAACCAGGTTGAACGACAACACAACAGAAATGATATGATGCTATCCTGTGTGGGAAACCGTGTGCTCAGGGAGCGGGCCGCTCCCTGGCCATCTTCGGGGGAGAGAGGAGCAGTGTTCATGGAGTGCTAGGTGCGCTCGCGCCGTGCCTGGCATCCTACCCCTCCCACCCATACCCTTCCCATTGCGCTGTGCTTTCTCTATCCGCCGACGCGTGTCATAGCGGACGTGGAGTTCCAAAAGGGACCCCATCGTGGTATGCGCTATCGGACAAATGGGAGCTGTGAAGACTGGAGGAGGAGGAAGAAGAAGAGGTGGAAACGAGGAGGAGACGGAGGACGGAGGACGAGGACGAACAGCAGAGGCAGGAGCTGGAGTAGAGGGAGCGGGCCGAGCAGGAGGACCAGGCGGGGGAGGGGAGAGGAGGGGGCGACAAAGATGATGAAAGATCTGGGTCCAGAAACGTGGCCCGCGCTGGGGCGGGAGCGTCGTTCTCGACGACGGGAGCGAAGCAACGATCCTAAAATGAGGCCCACGCTGCAGCGGCAGCAGCACGTGGAAGGACCGACAGCGGCCACGCTGAAAAAAACCATAGGACAGACACACGCTTGAAATCCCGTGTACAACAACACGCGGAGAGGGCGTGACACTGCCCAGTCATCGTCGGAGAAGAGGGGAGAGCAGTACTCGTGTTGGTGGGTAATTGTGGAATGCTTGTGGAGGGGAGAGGGGAGAGGGGGAGGGGGAGAGGGGAAGCGAAGGTGGGGGAGTGGCCCAGGAAGGGGGAGAGGGGGGGAGGGAGCACCAGGTCAAGGTCGACTCCCACGCAGACTGATATACAGTAGGAGCTCGACAACAAGAAATCTTCCACAGGAAACCCAGTCCTGAGACACCAAGACGTCCCTTGATTTTGGGTGTGGGAACGTCGCGCTTTCCACAGCAGAACCATCGAAACCCAAGAAACACAGGGCACCCTGGAGACAAGCAGGGTACTTATTGGCAAAATTTGCACCGTAGAGAGAGAGAGATGAACTCTTCCGCAGAGAAGCACACGCAAACGAGATGGAAGCACGCTGGCTGCAGCGCGGGGTGGGGCATGGGCTCCTCTGCTGTTAGATATGACCACCGCCGTTCAAGAGTTAGCATCCTGGAGAGTGAAGGCGCTAGACTCTCATCCATGGTGCGCCAAAGTCACGTGGTGTGCGCTGTCAGGGATAGCAGCAGGACGCAGAGTCAAGGCAAAGGCGCATCGGGGGCGTCGTCGACTCACGCCTGCAGCAGGCGACAACATCAAACCAGGTGCCCCTGCGGGATGTATGGACGCGGGGCCGGGGCAGCGTCCCCCAGGACCGCCTGGAGCGACGCTCGGCCCTCAAGGGCAAGAGGGGCGAGCGTACCCCGCCGCAGAGGGGTTCCTGGCCCGCTACAGGGGTGGCCAGCCCGCGGGAATCTTCTGACCATTGCGCGTCAGCAGCACTTTCACGCCAGCCACGCATCCTCCCATGCATTGGCACGCAGCAAGCTATCCACGAAAATCCGCTCAAACAGCGGAACCAAGGTGGCACCGTGGTGATACTTACGGACAAGAACGATGAATAGCCAGGACCTGCATCAGATGGTGAAGACACGGCTGGTCCTAGCCGAACACCAGTCGGCCCCGAGTGCAGAACGAGACATGGCGCAAGGTGGAGGATGAATGTGTGGCTGGGGCAAGCGTGTCTCGCCATGGGTGAGCACCCCAACAAAGCACGAACCCGAGCGGCCGAGTCAAGAGCGTCACGTCCAGCAGATGATCTCAAGGATGGCCCCAGCGCTGGCGGCCACAGCGAAAGCACACCCCCAGTGGGCAATCTGGAAGCCACCGACGGACCACAAGGAGCACTTAGCATACCGCAAAGCAGGTGACTGCAAGGCTCACTTCGTTCGGGCGATTCGCACCAACAGCGATGAAGGTATAACAGCAAGCTGACAAAGCCCCGGAGACGGACATGGCCATGCTGAAGTACGCGGAGTGTCTGATACGCCCGCTCGGCCAACAGCATGCGGGGGTCAAGACAAGGCTGCACGTCGCGGATGGCGGGCAGCATGACCGCCCAACGCTGCTGTGCGGGTCCTGCCCCCTCTCGACGCGGCCCGACAAGGACACGGCCTGCAGGGAGGCAGAATCGGCGGCGCGCCCGGGGGGGAAGTGAGAAGGGGCGGGCCTTCTCAGAAGGCTCGGACGTTCCCCAGCCTTCTGAGAAGTTTTCGAAGCCGTCTCCGAAGACTCCGACATTTCTCTTCGAACACTTGCAACGGAAGATCACGCATCCTGACCTGGTGCCTACTGGAACCCGGAAGATTGGCGATACTCTGCCGATAGTCACTTCTCCGTTTAGCATGACCGAGCTAACGGCCGCCCTGCGAGCTCTTGCCGTCGGAATAGCACCGGGGATAGATGTAGTCCCGCCGGAGCTATGGAAGATGCTGTTGGGATCTCCAGAGGCCATGGCAAACTTGCTGCAACTATCTCAGAGGTGTTGGGAGGACAAAGACATACCAGCGGAACGGAGGACTGCGCGCGTGGCGCTGCTTTTCGAGAAGGTTGACAGCAGCATCCCAGAGAACTAGCGGGCGATATCCCTACTCCCTGTTGGCTATAAGATCATCGCGTGGATGCTTCAACGTCGACTGCAACAAGGTGGCGCCGAAGGCAGACTCAGATCGACCCAATCCGGATTCAGACCAGAAATGGGCACCGTGCAGGCGATCTCCATTGCCCGGCGCATGTTCGAGGCGGCACATGCTTCGAAATCTCCAGGACTAGTGGCAGTTCTGTTGGACTGGTCGAAGGCTTTCGACAGAATCAAGCACGATGCCTTGCTGCAGGCACTGCGGAGATTCGGAATACCACATTGTGTTGTGGACATGGTTGGTTGCTGGCATCTATCGCGAATGGAACTTCGTTCTCCAAATAGTTCCAAAGTGTTATGCTCTTCGATGTTGATGTGCGCATGGAAGGCGCACACCCGACAGTCCAGGAGCCAGATTTCAATCAGTGTTCTGATTTGCTACACGCGGACGACACGATGCTCAGCAGCAGCTGCGCTGACAAGCTTCAGAGCTTGCTCGATGCGGTCACTGATGAGGGGAAGCGGTATGGTCTAGAGCTGAGTTGGAAGAAGACCGTCCTCACGAGGGTTCGGAGCACGGGCTCCCTGAGGGACCCGTCTGGGAATGCTTTGGCAAATGTGGAACAGGCCGCGTACCTTGGGGGTCTTCTCAACAGAACTTGCACTGCACAGCCGGAGCTCACCCGAAGACTGGGGGAGGCCAGGGGAGTGTTCCAACATCTTCAACAATGTTGGTCTCACGCAAATATAAACATTGTGAGGAAAGTAAAACTGTATCGAGCGAGTGTGGTGCCGAAGCTGCTGCGGACAAGGACAGGTTAAGTGCTTTCCACGTGCAATGTCTGAGAAAAATATGTCGCATCCCGCGCGCCCATGTCTCAAGAGTTCCGAACCGCAGCGTGTTGGAGCGGACCAGAGAGCACGATCCGAGTAAGGACTTGCTCGAGCGCCAGAAGAAGCTCTACAATGAGATCGCCGCTCTTCCTGAGGAGCACCCACTGCGCAGGCTCACGTGCAAAGCAAATTCGAACCTGCCTCGAATCTGGGACGAGAACCGTTCACGCGGGAGACCTAAGCAGCAATGGGCTCCCTGCGTCTACGCAGCCCTGCCTGAGGAAGGCGTAAGCCGATGCGCCGTTTAGGCGCCAGGTTTCTTGCTTGCTTCCTTGCTCCGGAAACACAGAACACTTCTCGGAAGGCGCGAGAGCTTCTGAGAAGCCCCGCCGCCTTCTGAGAGGGCCTTCTTCTCACTGCCCCCCTCGCTCGCTGCCGGCCAAAGCTGTTGTACAGGTCCTGCCCTCTGCCAACGCGGACCCGCGAGAGCTGGACGCGGTCTGCGGGGAGTCAGAAGTCGAGCAGGGGATCGACTACAGCATTGACTTAATGTCCAAAATCGATTTTGCCTCGGCGAACCATTTTTGGGGTGAATCAGTCCTGTAATCAATCCCCTACTCGAAGAAGGCCGCCCTGGGGACTTTCCGACTACCTGCCAGACCACCCCAGCCCAAGCCGAAGACCCGAATTTCGGTTTGAGGGGGTACGGGCTTCATATGTCTGTTCCATCTGTTCCCCAGCCCCCCCCCCCCGCTGGAAATGGAGGGCAAACCGAAGCCTCCGGAGTGGGTTGGGGTGGCTTGGTGGGCGGTGACTGTCTGAGGGCCCTCGGACCCCCCGGCCCGCGCGCGGCGCGCGGGCCCCACGGCCGGAGGGCGAGCTGACCACCTCGGCGGCGTCGTGCGGGCCACGCTGCATCGGGGCAGCGCCTCGGCGGGGGCGCTGAGGCCAGAGCTCGTGGGCGGGGCGTCGGCAGGCGTCGGCGGCGCGCACGGGGGGGCCTCAGGGGGAGGGGGGGGAGGCTTCTTGGCAGCAGCTTCCCTCTGGGGAGCCTGCTCCCCGCTCCCTGCCCTCCTCGGCGCGTGGCCGAGCCGCAGCGGGGGCGCTGAACCAGAGTTCGAGGGCTGGGCGTCAGCAGGCGGCAGCGCCGTGCCCGCGCGCCAGTTGCTAGAACCGCGCGTCTCAGGATCGAGACCAGAGCATGCAATGCGACTGGCGGCACGCGGTCACTACTTTATCAGCGTGTGTCCCAGGGCTTCTCGAACACTGATGCGACTCTGCGGCCGGATGCGACATTGAAGAGGCGAAACATACAGCTAGCACTATACCGTACGCCCTCACGGCAAGCGACAGCACACCCTACAGTTCACAGCCCTCCTGGGGTCAAGCGGTTGGGAGACGCCCGATTGCAAGATCAATCCACATCGAATCGGGAAACCAGGTCGGAGATCGGAACGTGCGTCAGATCCGGCTGCATCGAATCGAATGGAGTCGGCTGCTTCGTAATGCACAGCAGCGCCATGCGAGCATCGGGCCGCCTAGGATCGCCGGAAAATGAAAATCGAAACGGGTAGATAGGGGGCCACACGCGAACCCTACCCCTACCCCCCACGACTTCTGAGGGGGAGGGTGGGGTTCACCTCGCTCGGGAGCTCCCGAGTGAAGTGAACCCCACCCTCCCCCTCAGAAATCGTGGGGGGTAGGGGTAGGGTTCGCGTGTGGCCCCCTAGTAGAGCCCGACGACACCGAAGTCGGCTCGGACCGATCGGATCGGGACGGGCCCCGGGAACTCGTGGGTGCTGCGTCCGCACGCGGCCTGCCGCCCTGACGCACCCGTCGACGTCCCTGGCCTGTGGCTGTCAGCTGGGACGCTCAGAGACATACTGATACGATGTGTCCGCCTAGGAGGCGCGCGTCCGACCCGAACATATTAGGGGGCAAACGAACCTACCTCGCTTTTGACCACCCTCGCTTCCAAGAGATACCAAGCGATGCCAAACTACGGCATGCACTGGTCAGGCCGCTTGACGAGGAGGCGTGTGGTATGATTTGGTTTTGCCTGGAAGCGAAAGCGGGGTAGGTAATTCACGCTCTGGCATATAGTACACCCATCTTGTAGTATATCGTTTCTCGAGCGGTGTGGCCAGAAAGCGCCCGCCACGACGCGTGTACTATAAGATTTGTCGGTGCGCGCGTCGCCCCTGGGGGGGCGACGAACACATAGTAGAAGTATGTTGGGGGGACGCCGATGAGCGCTGCATCCACACGTGATCTCCCGCTCTGGCGCGAGCGCCGAGGGCCCTCTTCCACGAAGGACAGCGCCGTGCGCACAGTCGACCCGTATCATAAGGATGCGCGGTAAGGATGTAAGGGCCCCGGAGGCCCATGTTAGCGCGTGTCGAACGAGACTGGCCAGCGCAGGTTGCTAAGGATGGGCCGAAGGGACAAGGATGCAAGGGTAGCCGTGGGCAGGTTGCCCATCATTACTATGCGGGTTGACTGTACAGCAGGGGCCCGACCACAAGGAACCCTCCACAAGAAACCCAACCCTGAGACCCCAGGACGTCCACTCGTTTCTGGTGTGGGGACGTCACGCTGTCCACGGCAAAACCATCGAAACCCACGAAACCCAGGGCACCCTGAGGGCGAGCGGGGTGCTTCTCGTCGTGGGTCTCCACCGTGTGAGCCCCGCCCCCGCGCGGCGGCGCCGGCTGCCCGCGTCCTCGACCACCTCCATGCCACCAGCGAGCTCCCTGGCGGGATCTGGCGCGGGCGGGCCGCGAAACACCCACGGAGAGGAGGGGGATGAGGAGGAGGAGGAGGAGGAGGAGGAGGAGGAGAGGAGGAGGAAAAAAGATAGGAGGAGGAGGAAACAAAACAGAGGAGGAGGAGGAGGAAACAAAACAAAGGAGGAGAAGGAGGAGGAAACAGAGGAGGAGGAGAAGAACACGGAGAAACAACTCAGAGCCCCACCCCACGGAGGTGTCGTTGATGGCTTCGCGACTTGTGCCGTCCGTCCACGCGCGCGGGAGCGGCCGCGGTCTGCCCCAAGTTTCCCTGGAGATCTCTGCATCCGCGTGGATTTGCCCAGATTGCCTTGGACGTACCTCCATTGGTCTGCATCTGCCTGGATCTATGTGGCTCGATCCCCACGAGTCGAGGGGCGAAACGGCCTGAATCCCTCTACCAGGGAGAGAGGGTGGAAAAACAAAAGAGGGAGGAGGCCCACAGCGCGGAGGAAACAGAGAGGGAGAGAGGGTGGGAAAAAAGGGAGGGAGGAGGCCCACGGCGGGGAGAGAGAGGAAGCAGAGAGGGAGAGAGGAAACAGAGAGGGAGAGAGGGAGGAGGCCCACAGCGGGAGGGAGGGAGGGTGGAACAAAAGAGAGGGAGGAGGCCCACGGCGCGGAGGAAGCAGCTCGGAGCCCACCGCACGGCTCGCGGCGGCCGCGCGGCCGCGTCGGTGGGGGGGAATGGGGGCGCTCTGCGGAGTGTGGTGCCCGAGATGCTGGCGCCCGTGGCCGCATCCCCTCGCTCGCCTGCTGAGGGGGGTCAGACTTCGGGGAGTCGAGGGGTCGAAGTCAGCGACGGGGAAACTAAGGAAAACGGGGCTCCCAGAAAAAAATACGGGCATGGGCCAAGTAGTTCCAGAGGGATTGCCCAGGGGGAAAAAGAAAACATCGCTTTTTATAAAGATACGACACCGAACAAGGAAACTCACCAGAATTGAGCTTACCATTTCTGGACCCCCAATAGCATGCGAAGGATCCACTGTCTCTGTTCCGAGGCGACTCCGCTCCTGGTCTGAGGGGAGGCGTCGACCATTGAGGCAAGCCAAGGCTCCCGGCGACGACGGAATAACAAAAAAAAAGACCTAAACTTGAGAACTCGGAGGTCCGCGCGGAGTGCTTGGATCGGTGCTGGACCCCCCTCCCTGGCGCGCGGAGAGCGGCAGGGGCGGCGCTGGAATGCCCACCTGCACCGATCTTGGAGAGCCCATGGTGTGCCCGGTAGCGGCGGATGCGCCCGTCGCCCTCCGCGGCACCGCCCGCCGGGAAGAGGCGTGTGAACATCAGGTCCTGTGCCCGAAGAGCCGCCCGGCCGGGATCGGTGCCGACGGTCCGCGGGTGGCCCCGCAGAGGAGGAGCAGGGCCCAGTCATCTGGCACGGGTCGAGCCGGACCCCAAAGCAACCTCTCTCGACCCCCTTCCCCAGATAATTGGCAACGTAGCCACTCGCCGAGCAGAGGAGGAGCAGGGCCCAGACATCTGACACGGGTCGAGAAGGCCCCCAAAGCAACCTCTCGAACCCCTTACCCTGGATGATTGGCAACGTAGCCCCCCGCAGTCGCGGAAAGGAGTGACGGGGCGGCGGGGGGCGTCGGCAGTCTGCGAGGCTCTGAAGAAGCCCACCGCAGGCGCCTGGTTCTTACAAATTATCCAACGAGCCAACGAGCCCGCCGCAGGCGCCGATTTCTCGTTGAAGCAATGTGGGTGAGTCGCGAAAAGGGTCGCGGGTGGGTCGCGGGTGGGTCGCGGGCCAGGTCGCGGGTGCGTCGCGGGTGGGTGGCGGATGGGTCGCGGGTGGGTCGCGGGGTGGGTCACGAGCCGGTTCGCGGGTGGGTTGCGGGGTGGGTGGCGGGCTGGGTCGCGGGTGGGTCGCGGGGTGGGTCGCGGGTGAGTCGCGGGTGGGTCGCGGGCGGGTCGCGGGGTGGGTCGCTGTTGGGTTGCGGTTGGGTCGCGGGGGGACGACGACCAACAACAACAACAACAACAACAACAACAACAAAAATTACAACAACTACAAAAACAAAAACAACAACAACAACAACAACAACAACAACAACAACAACAACAACAACTAAGACAATAACAAAGACAAGAACAAAAACAAGACCAACAACCATAACAACAACAACAACAAAAACAACAACAACAACAATTACAACAACAACAACAACAACAATCACAACAACAACAGCAGCAGCAACAACAACAATCATTTTAAGACTGATCGCCCTTATCTGCCCGAGTGTCCAATAACGCGTATTTCCCAAACCCTCGATACCCGCCCTCTTCGTCTTCGATCGATCCACTTTTGGAGGGTAGACTTTTCTGCCCTGCAGGCCGGGCCCCGGCAAGCGGCGGGGCGGCCGCGGACCGTCGGCCTGGCCAGCGGCAGCGCTGATCGGCGGGGCGGCCGCGGACCGTCGACCCGACCCCAAGAAGGACGGACAGGGGACCGACCACGACGACGACGACGACGACGTCGACGACGACGGCGACGACAACGGCGACGGCGACGACGACGACGAGCGAAAGCGAGAGCGAGAGAGAGCGACAGCAGTGCCACGAAGGACACGAAGTAGGCCACGCAGGGCGACAGCGGGGACACGAAGGGAATACGTATGGGGCCACGAAGAGCGCGAACGAGCGGGGGCCACGAAGGGCAGATAATGCGGGGCCACAGAAGGCAACGATGGGGCCACTGAAGGTAGCAAGTGGGCCACGTACGGCGACAGCGGGGCCACGAAGGGCATGCACATGGGGCCACAACGGGCGCGAACGAGCGGGGGCCACGAAGGGCATACGTATGTTGGGCCGCGGAGGACAAGGACGGGGCCACTGAGGGCAGCAACGGGGACACGAAGGGCAGCGAGAGGGGCCACGAAGAGCGACAGCGGGGCCACCAAGGGCATGCAGATGGGGCCACCACGGGCGCGAACGAGCGGGGACCACGAAGGGCATACATATGTGGGGCCACGAAGGGGAACGAGGGGGCCACGATGGGCTGCAACGGGGCCACGAAGGGGAACGAAGGGGCCACGAAGGGCTGCAACGGGGCCCCGAAGGGCAGCGAGGGGGCCACGAAGGGCTGCAACGTGGCCACGAAACAAAGCGAGGGGGCCACGAAGGGCTGCAACGGGGCCACGAAAGGAAACGAGGAGGCCACGAAGGGCTGCAACGGGGCCTCGAAACAAAGCGAGGGGGCCACGAAAGGCTGCACGGGGCCACGAAACAAAGCGAGGGGGCCACGAAGGGCTGAAACGGGGCCACGAAGGGCAGCGAGATCCCGATTTCTAGGTAATCTGTAAGGGAGTGCTAAGCGTGAGCGCGATTCCTGGGCGCCTGGGTGTCGGGAGCGCGGCGCTTGAGTAAATTGCAGGAAATTCAAACGCAAGGGCGCTATTCGTCAGAAAAGGGCAAGCAAGTCTCCAACGAAAGCGCGAATCCAGAGCGCCGGGAGAGCGATTCCTGCGTAAGTTTTGAAGCAGCCCCCAGCGACAGCGCGATTCCTTGATACAATGCGAGGACGTCTCGGGCGGGAGCGGGGGTCCTGGCTAAATTGTGAAGCAGTTTCCTGCGGGAGCCGTTGTTGTTGTAACCTGGGGGCCACTGGCACAGTTTGAGAATCAAGACTTCCACTGCCCAAAAAAAGGGTGCGAGCGTCGATGGCACACTTCGATTGAGAAAGAACAGTATGCACTGGTGGGGCATCAACAAAAATTATTCTTCGGGGGTGGGAGTTCAACAACAACAACAACAACAACAACAACAACAGGAATAATAAGAAGAACAACAACAACAACAACAATCAGTATAAGACTGTTCGCTCCGACTTACCCGCGTGTCATTCAAAACGAGCTCCCCACGCCCTCGATACCCCTTGTGTTCGATCACGCCCCCTTTGGGGGGATTGTTTCTCTTTGCAGGGGGCGGCGGGCTTAGACAGGCGGGCAAACCTGAACGGGCGGACATTCCTTCGTGGGCGTACATGTGCCCGCCATTGGAATTGGTGTGGGCCCTGCAAAAAGAGGAGGGGGAGAACGAGTGAGAGTGGGAGGAAGGGAGGGGGAGGGACGAAGGAAGAGGGAAAGCGCCAGGAGAGAAGGAGCGAAGAGGGGGGCGGTTGATTAGAGGCAGAGAGAGAGAGAGAACGAAAGACAGATAGGAGGTAGAGAAAGAGAGAGAAAGAGGGGAAAGAGAGAGAGAGAGAGAAAGAGAAAGGAAGAGGGAGGGAGGACGCAGGAGAGGGGAGGGAGAAGGGAGGAGGGAGAGGAGGGAGAAGGGATAGGGCACAGAGGCATAATGATGAGGGAAGAAAGGAGGGAGAGAGAAGGGAAAAGAGGAGGGAGGAGGGAGAAGGGAGAGGGAGGAGGAGCAGGAAGGTAAGAGCGTGAACATTCGAGGAAGTCCTAAGCGAAAGCGCCGTACCTGAAGGAAGTCTCGGGCGGGAGCCCACGACGGGCGGGCGATCCCCTGACGGACGGGTCGGGCGGGTGGGACATTCAAGCGGGATGCCTGAGTATGGCGAGAGCGCGATTACTAAGTAAATTGTAACGGCGTCCTTGGCGCAGCGTGTTTCCTGAGCGTCGAAAGCGCGATTTCTGAAGAAACGGCATGGAAGCCACAGGCGAGAGCGCAATTCCTGAATAAAATGTGAAGCGCTCTCTGGCGGGAGCCGGGGTCTTGATTAAATTGCGAGGAAATCTTGATTCAATTGCGAGGGCGTCTCAAGCGGGAGCGCCGTTCCTGAGTAAATTGCGATGAAGTCTCAGATGGGAGCGGGGGTCCTGACTAAATTGCGAGGAAGTCACAGGCGGGAGCACCGATCCTGAGTAAATTGTGAGAAAGTCTCAGGAGCGGGGGTCCTGAATAAAATTGAAGGAAGTCTCAGGCGGGAGCCGTTGCTGTTGTAACCCGGGGGCCAGGGGCCCAATTTGAGCCTCCAGACTTTCCCTGTCAAAAAACCGGGTGCGGGCATCGAGGGGCACACTTTGATTGACAAAATACAGTATGCACTGGTGGGGGGATCAACCACAATCATTCTTCAGGTATGAAAGCTCAACAACAACACAACAACAACAACATCAACATCAACAACAACAACAACAACAACAACAACAACAACAGCAGCAGCAGCAGCAACAGCAACAGCAACAACAACAATAACAACAATAACAACAGCAATAACAACAACAACAACAACAACAATAATTACTAGCACGTGGGGACACTCCGTTCTCACCAGTGCCAGGGTTTTCATAGGAGGCGGGCAATACCCCCACTTTGTGGGGGGGGCCGGTTCAAGCTCTACCGAATTTCCAAACGACTCTTCGCCACCACCCACACCCAGCTTCCCGCCCTATGACGTTCGGACACTTCACTTCGTGGCATGCGGACGACCGTGGCTACTATTCAGGGCCCCGCGGCCGACGACGACGGCGTGCGCGCGCGAAGAAAAAACGAATGTGTCCCGCATGGTATTATTTGACAGGGATGATGGCCCTGGCAGGTGCGCAACCGTTGTTGCAGAAGTTCGAAAAAGTTGCTCGCAAAAGCCCGTTTGACAGAAATGTTTAAAAAGTGTTGGGTTTCCTACGAATCCGCAAGAGCGCGCGGGATGAATTTTGACATTTTTTTTTGAAAAACCATTGGTTTTTTGATGTTTTTATGTTAAAATCGCTACGAAAACTAAGGTTTTGGAAGGATTTCGTCTTGCGCGCGCGAATGTCCACTTTACCTTATTTTTTGCAAGGGATTCTTGAAGTTTGGATTATGTTAGAACAAGAAATGTCCACTTTAGCTTATTTTTTGCAAGGGAAAGCGGGCGTCAACAAAACAACCGGATCTGGTACACATCGTTTTGCCTGAGGCTTCCTCACGAAAATGATGAAAACGTGGCTGCGGCCTAGGCGCGGCGGGGGGGCCATGCACCAGGGGCCCCAACAATAATTATTCTTTAGAAGTAATAATGTTCAACAACAACAGCAGCAGCAACAACAACAGCAACAGCAGTAATCCGCATCGCGGAATCCCGCTTCAGCCACGCACCCAGTGACAGTGAATGACCGTTCGGTCCCCTGACTCTGATAAAAGGACCCCCAACCCTCTGGGAGGCGACCTAAGTCAGGAGGCCCAAAAAATAGGGGGTCTGTACTGCAGATGTATCAAGCCAAACCCCCCAGATTTACGATCCCTAATGCAAACAAAGACGGGGACCTCAGTGAGACCACCTCCCGACCCCCTTCGACTGCACGCAAGCGTGACAGTGGACAAGAGCGGCCTCTGGTGCGCGGCTTTTGGGCGGCCGCGGGGGGACCAAACACAGGCGCGCAGGACGCCTCTATCGCATCGCGCTCGGCGATCGGGGGACCCCATTGGGCCCGCACCAAAGGTCACTCTGGCGGAAGGTCACTGTTACGTCTGGTCAACCCGTTTCCTAACGGCCCCATGGGGCCCGAGCCCGGCACCCCGAGGCCCGAGGCGAAAATCGACCAGCGCGTTCCACCGCTCGCAGAAAAACTACTCGCAAATGGCCTAGATCCACGGCGGAGGACTGACCAACCATTACCTCGAGACGGACATGCGGTCTGCTGTTCGGACGCTTGCGAGTATATAGGCATTCTGCGAGTAGCGGAGCGCGCTCGGTGACTAACGGCCCCATCACGGGGCCCGAGAGCCTGGCACCCCAGGGCCCACGGTGCAGAGGAACTGCCGGACGCGTCGGCGTCGGCGTCGGCGTCGTCGGGCTCGTCGCCGTCGGGCTCGCTGTCGCGCTGGTCGCCGACGATGTCGTCGTCGACCTCGTCGTCGTCTTCGTCGAACTCGCCTTGGGCTGGATGCCTGGGCCCCCCCTGCCGCCGCGAATGCCCTGGCAGGGCTTGAGGAATGAAAAAACGACCCTACCCTGGGTTACAAGTGCGTGGTCTGTAAACCTCCTGGGAACCCCCAAAGCCTAGAGCCGCCAGGACGCGGCACATCACGCAGGGTTTACCCTGTCAGCCCACAGGAGTTTCAGCGCACAGCGCCTCGTAAACCAGGGTAGGGGCGTTTTTTATGCCCTGGCTGACTACCTACCAGACCACCCCAACCCAACCCGAAGACCCGAATTTCGGGTTGGGGGGGGTATGGGTTCCATACGTGTTTTTTCGATGTTCCCGGACCCCCCCACACTAGAAATCGAGGGTAAATCTGAGCCTTCGGGTTGGGTTGGGGTGGTTTGGTGGGTGGTGACTGGCAGGGCGGGCCCGCCTCCCGCTCCATGGCCCGCCAGCGGCTGGCAAGTGCGGGGGCCACGACGGCCGCCGGGGCGGCTCGCGCCCCTCGTTGCTCGGGGCGGGCGGCGGCGCCGGCGAGCAGGCCCGCTGCCCCGACGCGTCCTCCTCCTCCTCCTCCTCCTCATCCTCCTCCTCCACCGCCTCCTCCTCCTCCTACTCCTCCTCATCATCACCATTGCCATCACCATTACCATAACCATCTCCATCACCACCACCACCACCATCAGCATCAGCATCAGCATCAGCATCATCAGCATCAGCATCAGCATCGGCATCGGCATCAGCATCAGCATCAGCAGCAGCAGCAGCAGCATCATCATCATCATCATCAGCAGCAGCAGCAGCATCAGCATCAGCATCAGCATCACAGCATCATCATCATCAGCATAATCAATATCCTCACCATCACCATCATCATCATCATCATCAGCATCATCATCATCACCATCATCATCACCATCATCATCATCATCATCATCATCATCATCATCATCATAATCATCATCATCATCATCATCATCATCATCAGCATAATCATCATCATCGACATCATCATGATCAGCATCAGCATGAGCATCAGCATCTTCATCACCATCAGCATCAGCAGCATCATCATCATAATCGTCATCATCATCCTCATCATCATCGGCAGCATCATCATCAGCAGCATGATCACCATCATCAGCATCATCAGCATCATCATCAGCAGCATCAGCATCATCATCAGCATAGTCATTATCATAGTCATCATCATCAGCAGCATCATCATCCTCAGTATCATCATCAGCACCTCATCATCAGAATCAGAATCGTCATAAGTCATCATCATCACCACCACCCACATCATTCATTCATCATTATCACCTCATCATCATGATCATCATCATAATCATCAGCATCATCATCGTCGTCATCAGCATCAGCATCATCATCAGCAGCATCATCGTCATGAAATTTGCCTCCATCACCACCATCATCATGAAGATCAGCATCGTCATCAGCATCAGCATCATCACCACCATCAGAATCACCCCCATCAACATCACCATCACCACCACCACTACCGTAATCATGATCATCAGCATAATCATCATCAGCAGCATCATCCTCATCATCATCCATCATCATCATCATCACTATCACCATCACCACCAACATCACCGTCATCACCATCGGTATCGTCATCATCATAATCATCAGAATCATCGACCTAAGGCAACTGCACGCCCCCGGCAGTGGCTCTCCAGAGGAGCCCTTCGCGGACCTTCGATCCGATCCGATCCGATGCACCGCCTCCACCGACCTTCGCTCGTCGGTCTGCAATAATAGCTTCCCTGCAGCCCCCTCACAACGGCACGCGCCCGAAGATCAACAAAAACAAAATTCCGTGCACTCTTCTGCAAGAGCCTCCCGCTGTTCCGACCGCTCGTGCCCCTCCCACCCGACACATCCGGCGGCCGGACAGTTTACAGACACGGGCCCTGGAACTCTCAGCCTGGTGTGTGTGTTTTATCCTCCTGCGTCGTCTTTTGCCCCCCAAGACTCAAAATCCAGCCTGAAAGGAAAATTGCGAAACATGTGTCGTCGCCACTTCTTGTAGCCGCCGGATGCCTGGGACACCCCCGCGCCGCGGCGCGTTTGTGCACACGCCGCGCGAAAGCTACAAGCGTCCTCCGCGGCACACGGTCGACGTGTGCCCCCGACGCGTCGCGCCAGGCGCTCGCTCTGCACGGAAGCCGCCCTTGCCCCCGGAGGTGGCCGTCGGCGGCGTGGCCGGGAATGGAGTCGAGCCGACACATCCGGCAACTCGAACAACTGTTGCTGTTCCATGGGGGGACCTCTGCAAAGCAAGTTCTGGGCCCGGGACGGCGAAACAAATATTACTCAAGGAATAAAGCCCGCCACGGGGCAGGCGGCCAGTCGCCTTGGGTGAGGGGGCATGCCTCGAAAAAACAAGTTATATACCCGAGACGTACCCAACCCCTGCTGCACGTGAGGCGACTGTCGACGTGAACCTTTCATACTAAAGAACACGTTGCGACATGTGCATCACGCAGGAAGGCGATGCGTCGTCGGGCCACGCACGTCGCACACCTGCGCAACATTGAGCGGGAGACGAACGTGGAGGAGGAGGAGGAGGAAGAGGAGGAGGAGCAGCAGGAATAGGGGGAGGAGGGCAAGAGGGATTGCTAGGGAAGGGGGAGAAACGCTGGTGAGAGTAACAGCGCCATGCATTACGTGGAGCACACGAAAATGGTGACATGCGCGCAGTCCGCAGCCACCCAGGGAACAAAGAAGTCCCGTCTGGGTGCGCGTGCCCCACGACTCCTCTGGAGCTCCCAGGGGCCCAAAATAGTGGCGACAATTGAGCAGTTCGCAGCCTCCCAAGGAATGGCGAGGTCCCGTCTGGGTGCGCGTGCCCCCCGATTGCCTGGGCCACCCAGGAGCCCACGAAAGTGGTGACAATGGCGCAGTTCGACCAGCGACGTCCCGTCTGTGTGCGCGTGCCCCCCGACTCCGCTGGACCTGCAAAGAGCCCACGACACTTGCGCAATTCGCAACCTCCCAGGCAGCAGCGAGGTCCCGTCTAGGTGCGCGTGCCCCCCGACTCCGCTGGACCTCCCAGGAGCCAACGAAAGTGGTGGCATGTGCCCAGTTCGCAGCCACCTAAGGACCACCGAGGTCCCGACTGCAGGAGCTCACGGAAGTGGCAACATGCGCGCAGTTCGCAGACACCCATGGAGCAGCGAGGTCCCGTCTGGGTGCGCGTGCCCCCCGACTCCCCTGAACCGGCCAGAGGCCCACAAAAGTGGTGGCAATGGCGCAATCCGCAAGGACCCAGGGAGCACCGAAGTCTCGTCTGGGTCCGCGTGCCCCCCGACTCCGCTGGACCTCCCAGGAGCCCACGAATGTGGCGACACTTGCGCAGTTCGCAGCCTCCCAGGGAGCAGCGCAGAGGGAGGTAGAAGAAGGAGGGAGGAGGGAGGAGTGCAGACCACAGTGCTCCATTCAAAACGAGAACCCAACACAGGAGGCTTGGCAAAAACAGCACACCGCCTCCCCACCATCCCCCCCCTCCTCCTCCACCTCCTCCTCCTCCTCCTCCTCCTCCTCCTCCTCCTCCTCCTGTCCTCCTCCTCCTCCTCCTCCTCCTCCTTCCCCTCCGCCTCCCCGTCCTCCTCATCCTCCTCGTCACCTTGCTCTTCCTCCTGCCTCTGTGGCCATTTTGGCTCAAGAACCTGCTCGCCCCGACGCGGCGGCGGCGGCGGCGGCGCTCCTCGGCGCGGCTGTGCAAGCCAGCGGCTCACGTCAAGTGACGGCGGCCACCGCGGTGGCCCTCTGGCGTGCGGTCCGCGCCGAGGCTTGCAGCGCGCAGGAGGCGAACGAGCGTGGCGCGCGTGGCGCTGAGCAAGCGCGCACTGCGGGCGAAGGTGGTGACGGCGCAGGGCGAGTCCCCGCCCGTCATCGACGGCAGGATCAAGGCGCAGCGGAACGTTGCGGAGCCCGGCCTCTTCGAGGAGGGCGCCGATGCGCTGCCCAAGAACGGCAAGCTGGCGAAGCGGCGGTAGCGGGGGCGGCGACGCGGTGCCAGGGGTGGCTCGAATGAAGTCACCTCGCACTCGGAGCTGAAGCTGAGCGAGGGCATGGAGACTCTCGGGGATGAGCGCGAAGAACGAGACCGCGAGACCGGACTTCGGCGACGAGAAGGCCGTGGAGAAGAGCGCGTACAAGAATGAGAATCTCTTCGACGCCGCGTGAAAGTTGAACATGGCGAAGGTTGACCTGAAAGCCAAGCGAGAGGCCGCAGAGCAGGTGACCATCGGCAAAGGAATAAACGAGAAAGACTTGGTCGCGGTGCCCTTCGGCAAAGGCTGAGAAGCGGTGCCCCCGCTCGCGGGCACCCATCGTTCACATCAAGGCCTGAGCAGACGGACTGTCCGATCTTTCCCATCAAGGTCTGGACAGGTTTCGACTCTCTCAGGGGTGGTCCAGGTGTTCCTTGCACCCTGTGGGAGGGCACCACTAGAATGTCCTGTAGAATGTCATCTGCCTCCTCATCATCGTCCTCATCCTCCACTACCGAAAGCAGCACATGGAGGAGTATGGATGGAGGGGAACGAAAGAATGTGGCAACACATCGAGCGGTGCGAGGGCGGCAGCTGAGAGGAAGCGTGGTCTGGCTGGTGCTGCTGCGATAAACAAATCAGGCTACTTAAGATATGCTCACCCTTGACTCACTTCCCCATCATCTGTGTGGTGTGAGCGCAAAGGACGAGTAAAGCTGATTGGGCATGGAAGCAGGCTGTATGGGCAAGGACTAACATGATGGTGATGCTCGGTTCCTCCTTCTTCTCCTCATCAGCATCATCATCATCAACACCCTCACACCATCACCGATCATCATCATCATCACCATCAGCAGCAGCAGCATCAGCAGCATCATCATCGTCATCAGCATCAGCATCATCATCAACATCAGTATTATCACCACCACCACCATCATCATCCTCATCAACAGCAACAACAATAATAGCAACATAAACATCAATGTCAACATCAGCATAAGCATCATCAGCAGCAGCATCATCATCGTCGTCATCATCAGCAGCATCAGCATCAGCACCCTCATCAGCATAATCGTCATCCTCATCATCGTCATCAGCAGCATCATCTCGAAAACAACAACAATAGCAACATAACCAGCAGCATAAACATGAACATCATGATCATCAGTATCATCAGCATCAGCAGCAGCATCATCATCAACAGCATCATCATCAACAGCATCATCATCACCAACACCGTCGTCGTCATCATCATCATCACCATCATCATCATCATCAGCATCATCAGCATCATCATCATCATCATCATCATCGACAACGCCGTCCTCATCAGCAGCATCATCATCATCAGCAGCAGCAGCATCAACATCGTCACCATCAGCATCATCATCATCATGATCATCAGCATCATCATCATCGA